TGAACTTAACCCTTCTCATCTTAAATGCACGCCCTCTAGAATTAAACATTTCAACTTTGGAAAAATATTCTGACCGTCAACGCTATCTATGCATCTTATAATTTTATAGACAGTCAAGTGTCCCCTCAGCCTCTGCTGCTCCAGCGAAAACAACTTGAGCCTTTTTTTAACGTCACCAGCGAAGGTGATGTTTTATTCCATCAAACTTTGCTGGTTTTAGCATGGCCAAAGAAATGCAGTGAGGTTGCATTAATATAAGGTGAGAAAGGAGAAGTGGCAGTGGTAATAAAAAGGAGAATAGGAAAGATAAAATAATTCATCAATTCTCATGATTGGAATTATAATCGGTTTTTACTTATAAAAGCTTATGCTGAATTTTCCTTTATGCGGTTTAAGTGTCAATGCTGAAGCAAATATGACTTTTTGGAAAGCAGATGAAGAAAAACAAACATGTCATTAGTTGTGGAAAATCGTTACAGAGTAATTAGTAGTCATTCCAGATGCAGCTGTTACCAGGTGATGTGAAATAAAGAAACTAAACCAGTTTCAGGGGGTAGTGCATTTATGTTGTGGGACTGCACAGTTCAATTCTGTCAACTTGTGACCATTTTTCACACTCCCGTGTAATGGTGATCAATTGGGGAATTGCTGCACAGTAAAAGTGGCTGGAAGTTGATAATACTGTAATATAAAATTTTAGACTTGTGTTGTCATATCTACAGAGCGTGTGGTACTTAGTGCCTGCGAGAGCTAGTTTTTCAGATAGTTGCTTGGTAACTGTATAAATAGCATTGGGATAAATGTGAACATGGGGTGAAAGTGAGAAGACAGCAAATGGTATCAAAGTAGATGTCATTTAACTATTTTTCAATAAAAGAAGAGGCATTCAAACAAAGACATTCAGCTAAAGGGGACACTGAAGTAAGTACACAGCAGCCAGTATCCCATCACCAAGTCACCAAAAATTTACAAGTGGAGAGTCCTTCTCACTGATCCAGCTCCCTGAGAGCCAGCTCTCGGAGTGAACAGAAACTCTGACACTCCTGTTCTTACCTATCAGCCAGGGCTCCCTGATTGGACCAGGTTAACAGCCTCAATCAGGGAACTCATTCTATGAGGTCCACCTGGCTAACTTCATTATAATCACTACATTCCCCCTTTTGTAATTTGAGGACATATGCCAGTTCATTTTATTTTGTAGCTCTTCCTGGGGCGATTTAACACTGGGTCAGGTTACTCCAACTGCGCTTCGGGTACTGGTGGCATGTAACACACAGTAGCTTGCCTCTTGCACCCAGAGCATCATGGAAGAAATACGTTCTCTTCTTCAGGAGGCAAAGGTGTCAAAGTGGCGACACCGCTGTGTCCATCCCAGATTCCGAGGTATCTTCAATGCTTGATGGACAGGGAGAACCCATGGGTTTCAGAACAATCAGAGAGACTGTGGAGGAGCTGGGCATGTTTTACTCCCGCACCGTCTGTGAGTTTGCAGCTTTCATATGGTCCACGTGCTTGTTTCAGGACTGTCACACCTCCTTGAACCTTACACGTCACTGGACCTGACCTCGTGTTGACCATGCCTCTTACCCAGGCAGGGCCATTCCTGTGGTTCCTACACCAAACTTAGTTCCCTGAAGTAAACTGTCTCTCTTGCTTTGCGGATTCTTGTGTCTGGCATTGGCATTCCTAATGCTGTTTCACCATAACCCCCACCTTCAGATAGATCAAATTTTATCTGGTGCAGAGCCTTTTCCTCATTAGCAACTCTGTTGGAGATTTCCCTGTAGTTGCATGAAGGCTGGTCCTATAATTAAATAGAAACTGGAACAGTTTAGTGAAGCTGTAGGCTGTTTCTTGAAGCCTGCCTTCAAAGTTTGGGTGGTCTTTCTGCCAGACCATTGGATGATGGATGGTATGGAGTTGTCCTTGTATGTCAAATAATAGTTGACTTTAGAAAACACTCAAATTCCTTGCTGGTAATTGTTGGCCGGTTATCTGTAACCAGCACTTCCAGGAGTCCCTTATTTGCAAAAGATGCACGCAGTTTTTCTATTATTGTCCCTGTATTTGACGAATGAACTCTATGCACTTTGAGTGGGCGTCTACAATGACTAAGAACATTAAGCCCGTGAAAGGACCTGCATAGTCAACGTGTAACTGAGTCCAGGGTTTACCTGGCTATTCCCATGAATGTGGAGGAGTTTCTAGTAGTAACTTTTGTCCTTGTTGACACTTTGGGCACTGCCCCACCAACACAGCTATGTCTGCACCCAATCCTGGCCACCAGATATAACTGCTCACCAATATCTTCATTTTGGTAACCCCTGGGTAACCCTGGTGGAGTTTAGCCAGTATCTGGCGGTGACCATTGCTCGGGACAATCACCCTTGCTCCACATAATAATATGCCGCCCTCTACCATAATCTATTCTCTCCAGTCCAAAAAGGTTTCAGTTCTGGTTGTGATTGCCCGTTAGTTTCCACAATCAACACTAGCTGATTCAGTTTTGCCAGAAACGGTTCTTTCTGCATCCAAAGTCTGATATTGTCAGCAGTGACTGAAACCGTCTCCAGAAAATCTAAAACTACTATGGACTCTTCCAGCGGTGGTACTACCGGTGGTGTATCTGCCACATTTGCTACTTGGCCTCCTGGGTAGTGTTTCAATTTTTAATTATATACACATAGTATTAGAGCCCACTGCTGAATTTGGCCTGAAGCTATGGATGCCACTGCCATGTTCTCTTTAAGTAGGCCTAGGAGGTATTTATGATCCATTATTAGTACAAATTTACATCCATAAAGGTATTGGTGGTACAGCGAATCATTGTTTACAGATATGAACATTTTATACCCCGTTCCCCCTGTATCCTTAACTTGTGGCCCGCAGAATTCAGAGCAGGTCACATGACTGGATTCATTCCTGCATCTTATCCTAATTTAGAGACACAGTCCCAAAACACAATGGCCTAGATATTTGGAGGAGTGACATTCACAGTCGGATTGCCGTTCCACTCATTTTGTTTATAACGTCAGTGCTGAGCTCCATATTTATAGCTGAGCATTTCAATCTTGCTTCCATCAGAAATACAAAGCATTGTGGAAATCAACACAGGATATATAAAAGAACTCAAACCCTGGAACCAATGGTGGGGAGGATGTTAGGGGCGGTGGGCAAGGAAGTTGCTAGCAAGGGTGTGTGCTAAGTGGGTGCCTGGGGTACAGGCCAGTGGTAGGGCAGGGGTATTTTGGGGGCAGGGGAGCAGGTTATGGGAGGCAGGTACAGAGGGCAGAATGGGCAGCCGACAGATGCATGGGCAGGTATTAGATCCTGGGGTCAGGGTGCAGAATATATAGCATTTGAAGGGTTTAATAGATGGGGGTGTTGTTGTTGTCATGGATCCTAGGGCTGGAAGGGGGTCAGGAGGCATATTAGGGGTGGGGTAGTATGGTAGAATTTGGAGGAGTGTGTCAGTTTGATAGGTTTTCAGGAGTTACATTAGGTTTTTATGTCTAACCTATCCTTCGTAACTGTTCAGGTAATGGAAGTGGAACCAGCCAAACCTCCGACATTAAGGAAAAATGAAAATACTGTGGATGCTGTAAATCAGAGACAAAAGTGGAAATTGCTGGAAAAGCTCAGCAGGTCTGGCAGCATGTGTGGAGAGAAATAAGGGTTAACGTTTCCAGTTTCTGAGGAAGGGTCAATCGACCTGAAACGTTAACTCCGATTCCTCTCCACAGATGCTGCCAGATCTGCTGAGCTTTTCCAGCAATTTCTGTCTTTGTCTCTGACATTAAGGGGTGTTTTCAGAGGGTTCTAGGTGCAGACATATTATCCATCAGAATCTTCAATTTCCTGGCCAATTCCCATGGAATCTGCAGCGTCTGGAATTCTACAAGGACTAATTCGCAACTCCAGTCAATGCTGCTCCCACCGATTCTCTGGCCCTCAGATATTCCAAGTCAGAAACAAAATATTATCTTTGTGATATTCAGTTCCCAGAGATTTCTCTGGTAAATTCCTTCAAGATAATAGATAATTATCAATTTTTGAATCTCAGCACTAATGTACTGTGTTGATTTTCTGTTATATCAATGCTACTAACCTCACCCACAATTGGTACTGGGTTTCACAACGTAATTAAAGAACTCCCAAATTCTGCCCCTCTGCAGATCAACAGAACTATAGGCATCAAACTTCCCTCTAACTCGCAAGACTTTAGACTGATGATCAATTTAATATGTGCCTGCACAACTATAAATAATCTTAAACAATCAGACAGTACAAAAAAGTCATTTGCAGCTCAGGCCAGTGGGCAGCAGATATGTGGGAACACCACCACGTGCAAGTTTCCTTCCAAGCCACTCACCACCTGGATGTGGAAATATATTGCCATTCCTTCAGCGTCGCTGGATCAAAATCCTGGAACTTCCTCCCTAACAACGTTGTATGCCTATCTAAAGCACATGGACCACAGTGGTTCACGACAGCAACTCACCATTACCACCTCAAGGCCAATTAGAAAAGGGATAAAATGCTGGCCCATGCCAGTTGCCCACATCCCCTGAGTGAATAAAAACAAAATGAATTGACCGAGCCCTTGGAGGAACGCCTATGTAACCTAACACTCTACGAACAGTTTCTATTAGCACATAGGAGATAGGATTTAGTACAATGTAAATACATTTTCATTCCTGTTGTCTGGCTGTTCTGCGTAAGACTGAGAGCTTGATGCTATTCTTTGAGTGTTTGCTCTGCAAAAATATGACCTCACATGTTTAACACTTTAAGTACTCACAGATAGAATTCCTGTGGATTTATCGGTTGGTCATTATGAAGGAATAACACCCAGGTAAATGTAAATAAAAAGGGACAGTAAGTATATAATTTTGTTCAAAATGTTGTATCAAGATGTTCTTCATCCAGTGAGCTCTGTGAAGTGTTTTGTGTTTAAAGAATACTAATTAATTATGGGAATGTAATGACCTTTTAATTTTTTTGTTGTTGCAGGCATGATAGCAGAGCAGTTTGTTCCTGACGGGCCCCATCTGAAGTTGTATAACTATGAGGAAAAGCATTGGGACCACCTGATGAACTGGCAGCATGCAACTATGTATCTTTTCTATGGCATCTCAGGGATTGTGGACATTATAGTCCATATAACTCCTGCAGTGCCATTAGCCCTTGACAGGCTCATGCTTGCCATTGCAGTCTTCATTGAAGGTTTGCTGATTAATTCTTAAAGTAACAAAAGACTTCTAACATAACTATGAGAGAGCAAAGACTGCAGATGCTGGAGTCAGAGATAACACAGTATGGAGCTGGAGGAACACAGCCCCCAACTGTCCATCTTCTCTCCCACCTATCCACCCCTCCTATCCTACTGACCAATCCCCAGCACTCCCTGCCTATACTCACCTACCACCATCCCACCTACCTTCTCCAGCCCCACCCCTCCTCTCTCTATCTATTTACCAGCTCCCTTCCCCGTCCCCCTTTCTGAAGAAGGGTCCCGACCCGAAACGTCAACTTTCCTGCTCCTCTGATGCTGCCTGGCTGGCTGTGTTCCTCCAGCTCCATACTGTGTTATCTCTAACATAACTGTGTAATGTTTACAATGGAGAGTTAGCCAGAGGGGGGCATGTATGGCTAAGTTCTGCAGTGGTCTCACAGCCACTCAAAATGCTCATCCCTTGCTGCATTTTGCAAAAGATTGTGTGACAACCAACTGCAGAGAAACTGCACCCACTGGTCACATAGCATATTTTAAAAATTATCTACAAAAAATATGTGTGACCCCATTAGACATGTTATGTGATTGAAATCAAAATAGTTTAGCATCTCTATTGGCTATACGTTCAGGCTATACATTTAAAAAAACACATATGCAAAATCTTCTCACATCTAGGAAACATCCCAAAGCACTTTACATATCCAATGCATTGCTTTGAAATTTTTCATTATTATTAGGCAAATGCAGGAGTTGTTTTACACACTGCAGTGTATCACAAACGAGTGTTCTGCAGGTTTTGGTGGGTGCTTGAAAAAATCTGCAGTGCGGAAATTAACCTGACCAGACCATGTTAATGTTATAAACAAAGTCCTAATCTCATGTATCTATCCTGTCCCATATCTCTTTATTTTTGTGTCCTTTCGCTAGCTAACTAACCTATTCTTAAGTGTTGACATGTAGTCCACCATAATTTGTTAACTCCAGCATTGAATCCCAGAGCCACACACCCTTTGTAAAAATGGTGATTTCTCCTTGGTGGCCTAAATCTCATGTATTCAATCTTACATATCTTTATCTTAGGCAATGCTGATGTTTGAACTGGGATCTAGAATCTTTAACATTCACCTGAACCACTAGAACACTAGAAGGTCCGCTTCCAACATTTCATCTGAATGCGAATATTTTTTGACAATGCAGAGCTTCCACAGATCTGGACTCTTGGATTGTATTTTGAAGTTGGGGTATGGACAGTTGGCTGGATGGCTGGTTTGTGATGCAGAGTGATGCCAACAGCGTGGGTTTAAATCCCATACTGGCTGAGGTCACTGTGAGGACTCTGTCTTCTCAACCACCCCTTGCCTGAGGTGTGGTGACCCTCAGGTTAAACCTGAGAGACATGATGACTTGAGATGAGCAACCCTCTGGGACTGTGGCAACTTTATTTATGGAGCTTTCCGTTCTTCCTTCTGAAACTTCAAAAATACAAATGTTTCCAGTAGACCCACACTGATACATAATGAAAAGAACACCTCCAACCTACTGTCACACTCTTATTTTCTTGATCAACCCAAATGACAGGCTCTTTGTATTCATTCCTTAAAGATAGAATTAATTTCCTTAGTCAAGCTATTTCAGTTATTTCACTTGAGAGAATTCTTTATGATATTGTATGTGTCATGGCAATGTGCACTTAATTTCCTTAGGCAGTCTCTTAGGAAAATTCTTCAGAAGCAGGAAGTAAGATTCAAATAAATAAAACAAAAAATTGTGGATGCTGGAGATCAGTTCTGATGAAGGATACTGGACTCAAAGCGTTAACTGTGCTTTCTTCCCACAGATGCTACCAGGCCTGCTGAGTTTTTCCAGCAATTTCAGTTTTTGTTGTTGAAGATTTCAGTATATGCCTCCATACTGTTTACCTGTGTCCATAGCAGGGTTCAAAATGATTTCTTTGGAGGGCCCTTCTTGAGGTTTTCTCCAGCGTACTTTTTAGAAACACAGGAAGATAGAAACTAGGAGCAAGAGTAGGCCATTCAGCCCTTTGAGCCTCTTCTGCTATTCAGTATGATCATGGATGATCTTCTGTCTCAATGCTATATTCCCAATTTCTCTCCATACCTCTTGGTACCTTTAATATCTAAAAATTGATCAGTCTCTTAATTGAATATAATTACTGACTTGGCCTCCACATCCTTCTGTGAAAGTGAATTTCATGTTGAGTGAATAAATTTTTCCTCACCTCAGCCCTAAATGGCCTACCCCATATCATGAGGCTATGTCTCCTGGTTCTAAATTCCACAACCAGGAAAAACATATTCCTAGCAACAAATCTTTCCAGCCCTGTTAGAATTTTACATATCTCAATCAGATCCCTTTGCTGTCCTAAACTCTGGCAAATACAGGCCCAGTCAGACCAAGCTGCTCAAAGGACAGTCCCGCCATCCTCGATATCAGCCTAGTGAATTTACATTGCACTCCCTCAAGGACAAATACATCCTTTGCTAGGTAGGGATCCATGCAGTGCTCCAGGTGAAGTTTCACCAAGCCCTGTATAACTTCACTGTGAAATGCCTACTTGTGAACTCAATCCTCTTGCAATGAAAGCCAGTTTATCATTTGCCTTCCGAACTACTTGCTGCACCTGCTTGTTTATTTTCATTGGACAAGGAGATCTTTGTGCATCCATATTTCTGAATATATATTACCATTAAAATAATACTCCTTTCTGTTTATCCTACTGAAGTATATAACTTCATACTTAGGCACGTAATACTACTCCTTACCATGTGTTTGCTCACTCACTCAACTTGTCTAAGTCACTTTGAAGCTTCCTTGCTCACAATTCACAATCTTGCTCAGTTTGTACCAGTAACAAACTTGGTTATGCTGCATTAGAGACAACAAATTGCAGAGCTGGATGAACACAGCAGGCCCTTCATCAGGGTCTAGGCCCGAAACGTCAGCCTTCCTGCTCCTATGATGCTGCTTGGCCTGCTGTGTTCATCCAGCTCTGCACCTTGTTGTCTCAGACTCTCCAGCATCTGCAGTTCCTACTATCTCCTATGCTGTGTTAGGTTCCCTCACCCATGTGGAATACCATGAATAGCTGAGGATCAAGCACTGATCCTTGCAGTACTCTACCATCACACAGCACTCTACCATTTAGAACAGTACCTATTCATTCCCATTCTCTGATTCCTCTCTGTCAACCAATTGTCAATCCATGCCGACATATATCCCTATCGTATGTACTTTAATTTTACTCACTGACACCAAATGTGAGACCTTACCAAAAGCCTTCTTGAAAACCCAAACACATCACATCCGTTCTGAAGAAGGGGCACTGGTTTCCTAATGTTAACACTGTTTTCTTTCCACAGATGTGGCCAGACCTGCTACATTTCTCCCAGCAATTTCCATTTTGCTCATTTCACAATCACTGTTCTCTCTTATCTATTCTATTAGTTACCTCCTCAGAAAATGTCAGTAGATGTGTTATGTATAATTTGCTTTTCGTAAACCCATGCTGACTTTGTCAAATCATAGAATCATAGAGTCATAGAGATGTACAGCATGGAAACAGACCCTTCAGTCCAACTCGTCCATGCTGACCAGATATCCAAAAAAAATCCTGTCCCGTTTGTCAGCATTTGGTCCATATCCCTCTATACCCTTCCTATTCATATACCCATCCAGAATACTTTTAAATACCAGCCTCCACCAATTCCTCTGGCAGCTCATTCTGTACATGCACCACACTCTGTGTGAAAAAGTTGCCCCTTAAGACCCTTCTAAATCTTTCCCGTCTCACCTTAAGCCTATGTCCTCTAGTTTTGGACTTGCCCACCCCGGAAAAAGACCTTGTCTATTCACCCTATCCATGGCCGTCATAATTTTATAAACTTCTGTAACGTCACCCCTCAGCCTCTGACACCAGGGAAAATAGCCCCAACCTATTCAGCCTCTCACTTTAGCTCAAACCCTCCAACCCTGGCAACATCCTTGTAAACTTTTCTGAA